AGGCACCGCCCCTGACTCCACCCACTTTTCTCCGGAATTTGCGGGGTCTCGTACAAACGGTGTGAATATAGGAACTGTTTTCCAACCCCAAATTTTTGAAAATCTTACCTGATTGTTTCTCTCCAACTTCTTCTCCATCAAATCTTTCACCTTCACAACTTTGTCATACTGAAAAATATTGAAGCATATGAATTTTATTCCGTTCTCTTACGTCAGAAACTTTCGTCTTCAGTTCAGCGTTCTGCTTCTCTGATTCAGCGAGCTTCTTAAGCAGTTTCTGCACTTTCTCTGCGTCTGGAACCCCCTCGAGAGATTTCAGTAACACGGCTTCGTCTGAAATGAAGTTGAAAAACATGAAATCATATATTTAGAAATTCATACCGAAGTTCTTGCCCATGATTAATTTGCAGAAAGTTCCGAAAAGTGTGAAATAATCAAGTCAAAAATAAACGAGATATAGTGCTCTCAGAGGTTGGCTGCTGCTCAAGCCGTACGGCCTTTCTTCCTGTGGCTGCCGGCTGTGCTCGATCGACTATCCGCCGTCTCTGTGTCTCGTGTTGTCTGTGTGGTCTCCACGATTCACACACTGTCTGCCGGGTCTCTCACTTCACCGAAAAATGGCGGCTCGTTGTAAATCGGGGCGCTGAAGAGAGAACGGAGCAGTGTTTCGTAAGGGACACTCTCACTCGTCTTTCACGAGGTGAAAAGGTAATTATGGTGTGCGAGTGAGACACGGGAGATTTATGATTCTTGAAACGGAAAGAAAAGAAAATCTATATTTTTATTCGAAATAGTATCCCGGATTTGTTTGACAAAGTTGAGTGATCGCGATTTACATTCAAATATCGAAATGTGATCTTTGGTGAGATAAATGTGTGTGCAATGAAAGGATAACGGATGAAGTGAATAAAATGAGTTTAGAAATTAGTCTTTAGGAGGAGAGATTCGTTTTCTTCTTGGAGATCTTCCATTGATGTCAGTTTCAATTTTACCAGAATATTCTTCATCCGACTCATCATCACTGCTCAGAACGAGTCTACGTTTTCTTTTCCGCTGGGCAGGAATAGGTGTATCTACATTCGAGTTTCGAGGTTGCATTGGTCTTCGTGTTGGGGTTATTGGCCTGAAAGCCAGGAAAATATTGAAAAATGACGATTTAAAAACTCACTTGGGTTCCCCGTCTTGCTCATCGATATCTTCTTTTTCTAGATTCTTCATTTTCTCTAGCAGCTTCTGTCTTTCCGCAATATGATCTTCTTTTGTCGCTGTAGATGCCTCCATCTTGACCTTGTTTTGTTTCATTCCGAAAAACGAAAAATTATCGCAGAATGCTGGTTTCTGAAATTCGAAAAGTTAATATCGCCACCCAGAAGCATCCTATAATCACCACAAGCTCTACTTTTTTGTGCTCAAAATGCCCATCTTTGTATGGATCCAAGTCGTTGGACGGTGGTTCTAACCCTCTCAAAAACAAGTCTTCTCGAGGCTTTTCTTTGTCGGTTGTTTTGACAAGAGTATACAATCCGAACAGTGGAACCAGTTTCACGGTCTGAAAATTTTAGATTTTTTTGAAAGCGCATAACAAAAATAGATGAGAAAATATACTCCCATGTTTTGCCTCAATTCGAATTATTCTAATAAATATTTATTCAAAACTTCAAATTACCTCTTCTGCTTTAAATTCATATAATTGATCTCGGAAAGCTTCATACTCATCGTCGTCATCACTGAAGATGTTTTCCATGCTGAATCTCAATACGCTGACGAAAATCGACGGCTGCAAACGATCGTCAGAAAGTGCGCCCCGTTGAACAAAATCTCGCGCGACATAAATTTTTAAATTTAGTTTTTTCGTTCAAAAACAGTTTCGAACTGAATTTCGATCAGATTCCCGAATAAAAAAAGGAAAAAAGCTCATAAGAAACAAAAAAAGCAAAATTACTCTTTATAGAAGGTTAAAAACACTTTTGCCCGCTATTTATTGTTATTTTGTTGGTTTTTTGTCGCCAATGCTTTTTTACAATATTTTCTGTAGAATTTTTTACAATATTTTCTGTAGAAATAGAAAATCGAAAATTTGGAAGTTTGAAAACCATTTAATTTAAAATCCAGAAAGTTCAAATCCGAATTTCGAATGACTGAATTTCTTAATGATAAACTTTCAATATTCCGAATTTCCGGAAATCTGAGTATCTGAAATCCTGTTACCGTAAGACCTGTATTAGAAGGACCCCCATAATGGAAGGGCCCTCTGTGAAAAAGGACCCCCTCCCCCCTTCAAAATGTGTTTTGAAATCAGAAAAATTCCGTACTTTTTCAGTGAAAAATATTCCGGGAACTCCACAATTTAATATTATCCTTGTCAGAGAAAAAAAAGTTTGAGTCGAAGTGTATGCGATGTTTGTAAACAAATATCTGAAAGCGTAAACAACCGGAAACAGTTGAAACGAGTGCGACAGTAACCCGGCGGGAAAATGTTAAATTTACCT